CGTGCGTAGTACATGTTAGGTATGTAGACATGCGCAGTACGTGTCGATTTTAAAGGCAAGTGCGAACAAACATACACAACAATGGCACTGTTGTTGCTGCTCAAGAGTTTGCTAACGCTTCTTCAGCAAAGTGTGGATTTACTTCACCAAAATTACAACCAACAGTGGAGACGCATCATATACAACATATAATCGTCACTTCCCTACAGCTACTGTTTACTAACAGGTGACAGCGCCAACTACTGGCCTGGCATACGTAATACAGCTTTTTTGTCCATTTTCACGGATATGTAGCGAATCATTTTGAAAACGTTATCGTGTATACGTGAAACATTTTAAAAACGCAAGGGAAAAACTTTTCCGTTTTTGACTACACCGTTGTCGTGTAAACGTAGCCTAATACACAGAGCCGTAGCTTGCTGACAAGCTACGCAATATCGCATTCATAATCGAATGTGATCTGCGATTATGAACGCGATATTGCGTAGCTTGTCAGCGAACTACAGCTCTGTGTATTAAATGCCGCTCCATCTGAAAGCACGTGATGGAGATTTACTACTAATCACAGAACCGGCTTTACTGACGAGATGCGCATGATCGTCACATGCAACTTATCGTACAGCCCTATTTGAAACTATGGTAGATTTGTATTTCTTGAAGGAAACACTAGCACTAGTTTTCGTTCAATGTAAACTTTGTTTACAGTGTGAATGTGGCTATAAATAGTTAAGTCGATATCAAATTGACAGTTAAATCGAATCAATGACAATTAAATATGCAAATACAGTGCTATTCAAATGTTTGGGGTTGGTACGATTTTTTTAATGTTTCTAAAAGAAGTCTCTTATACTCAACAAGGCTGCATTTATTTACTAGAAAATACATTTAAAAAAACAGCAATATTGGGAAATATTATTATGATTTAAAATAATTCTTTTCTGTTACAATATATTTTAAAATGTAATTTATTCCTGTGATGGCAAAGCCATTACAGTACTTCAGTCTTCAGTGTCACATTATCAACAATTGTGCTGCTTAATATTATTGTGGAAACTGTGATTTTTTTTTCAGACTCTTTGATTTAATAGAACATTCAAAAGAACAGCATTTATTTGAAATAGAAGAATTTTGTAACAATGTTAAAGTGTTTGCTGTCACTTTTGATCAGTTTAATGCATCCTTGCTAAATAAAAGTATTCACACTGACCCCAATTAAAACCACACTGACCCTAAACTTTTGAAAGATAATGTAAATGCAAGAAAGCAGCCAAATAACAATGTAGCATGCTAATGCTGTCAGTTAGATTTTTAATTATGAATATTTATAAAAACTAAATTAGCACAACAGATCTTGAAATTAAGTTTGTTTTAGCAGAATTAATTGCATAAAAATGTGGAAAAGAAAAATATAATAGGAATATCAGAAGCCTTGCATGCACTGTAATAAGATTTATATGCTTGGGCTCCTCAAATTTGCCTCTTCTTAGTACTTTATATTTATGAATATTACATAATTTTTACTTTAAGAATAATGATGAAAGAGTGAAATGTAGAAAGGAAGTAATTTATTATTCTGATTTATTATCAATTTATTATTTAACATCTATGATTAATCATTAAGTACCATGCTCTAACTAAAATGTCTGAGTGCTAAAAGTCTAAACTTTTTCTTAAGATGGAACTTCCTAAACCTTACACAGATCTCACAGGAAATATTCCCTAGAGTTTGCATTTAGAAACTCATCTTGAATATATAAGATACTGACATGACTGGATTTAGCATAAAATGTAAACATTTTGGTGAGAAAGCAACCACTAAGAATATAAAATTACTTTTAAATGCATGAACATAGTGTTCACACTTTCTCTCTCTCTATCACTACACACCTAGTGTCTGTTCCAGCACGTTCCCACAACAGAGGTGGTTCGACGGCACGCAGTAGCAGACCAGGGCTTTAACACAAAAACACAATCTCCATCACCTTGAACCAAACTCACCTCAGCACTGACGCAACTTTTCTTCAGTACTGACAGACGCTTTATACGTCTGCTGGACTTTTGTATGACACGCCGTTTGGGCGTGGACTTTATTTATGACCGCTGTTGTTATTATTAGTAATATTGTTATTCATGTTGTTGTTTGAAATTTTCTAAAACCCTATTTTTGTATATTGGACTATTCAGCTTCATACAGCTGCCAAATACAGGAAACTGTCTTTCCCTTACATCTGTAGATGTACTGTACATGCTGTACTGTATGGAGTAACTACTTTTGGTTTTCCCTAAAGACGGCTCTATGAAGCCTACATGGAGTTTCGATGCAGGTTCATTCAAGCAGGGTATTTTAAATTGCCTGAATGTTGGCGCACCGGAGTGTTCAGGACCCTGTTGGATCGTGGAACCTGCTATAGAAGATTATAATATCTATATCCTAGATGGATGTTCCATTGTGATGCAATTCCAACAATTTCATCCACGATCATGGACAATAGGTGCGTAAGAATACTTTTAATTAAGATTATGAAGAGTCCAAAGGGTTGTAACCCTTTGTATCATGATTCCGTGATCATGTGATGTTCAATATAACATTATAACATTCAAACTGACTCCAAGGTCTTAATCAGTGTAGAACCACTTTGTGGAAAAACCCTGTTTTTCAGAGGGAAACACTAATACACTGAAATTCTGGAAGTACACCTGCAATACGAGAGCGGGCCGGTACAATAGTACAGCCTACTTAATGACGGATGAAAAGAGGATTTGAAGTTTCAAGTTTCTTATTTTAAAACCATTTGATATTCAGAAAATAAGCCTTTGTGATTGAGCCTTAGTCCCGTGAGCCATACAGAACTTGGCAAGCGACGGACAGGATGGTGTTTATTAATTATTACATGTATAAATAGAAACGCACACAAAGACTGCAGAGTTCAGGGTTTGGTCAAATAAGTGTACTGTAAAAATCTTCTTTTTTTGTCGGTTTAAAGTGGATTTTACAGGAATATTATAGATTATAAATCTTTCATTTAGACTTTTAAATGGCCATTTGGTTCTTTTGGGGCCAGGAAATCCTTAAATATTTAACACTGACTGGTAAAGCACATTTTGACGTACCATTTTACTGGCAGATATTGAATGTGGCTCTTACAGGTTTGTAATGTTTATGTGGCAGCTTCACTGTAACAGCATTTATTGAAATCGTACCGACTCTAACTGAACATTTGCATTTCTCCGATTTGATTAACGTGTTGATCTCAGTGAAGTGAGTATTGCTTTTAATCGACTTTTTTTCTATCTGGAGAGTAACTAAGCTCAAAGCATGTATTATGAATGTACAGGCCATCATAATGTTTGATGATCAGAGAGATGGATTCCTCTACAGCCATATGGAAGGGATGTCACGGGAAGACATCTCTTCATACCCCAGCCTAACACCTCCGCCTCTAAGACAGATCCAGCTATTCTTCACTCAGCTCGGCAAGGACAATCTAGAGTTGCAGAAGTTGTAGCCATATTTGACTTCTAGAGTTTCTTTGTCATTCGACAGAGATTTCTAGAGTTCCAGTAGACATTCTGCTGTCTGACCACAGAGTTTCATTGCTGCTGATTTGAGTGGGCGGACTTCAAGAGCCATGTCACCTGGATCAACAGACCACTCTGGTCTTTTAAGCACGGATGCAGATCTTTTGCAAGCGGACGTGTTTAGTGTGTGGCAATAATGGTTTATCTGCTCTAAGTCTGGTGGAGATGACAGTGCTGGATGGGAGTGTGTGTGACTGTGTGTGTGTGTGTGTGTGTGTGTGTTGTGGAGGTGACAGCTCTTGGCAGGTGTAGCACTGCTGTATCTAAGATTCCCCATAAATGTTTACCTCTGTAACCTAAATGAGAATGGCAATTGAACAATAAAGGTAATTATTTGAATAATATGTTGTTTTTCTTTTGGTCTTTAACAGTACTGTACATTAATCTCAGTAACTATACAGTTCTGAGTCAGCTTCAGTTGTTTTGTATGTTGGTTTCAAATACCTAGTTCAAAACTGCCTGAAATTAGAATAACATTAGTGATTCTATTCTTATCATAGTTGACATATTTTTGCTATAGCTGTTGGATAAACAAGTGAACTTTAAAACCACAATTGCCTATATTATAAATTTAAACAATTCATAAATTATAAAAAATAAATCAAGGTTTTGATGATTATTCTGATCATTTTTGGTTTAGCTTATATTTTTGCTAAACAACAGCAAGTTAACAAGTGTATTTTTGCAGTTTTTCCCCTTTTAGAGAAAGGCTATGAAAGTATAAAATGACTGACATGCAACTGAAATGACATAAGGACATTAAACCCATTGCACACACGATATTAAATAAGATTTGTTTCAGTCGACTTAAGGAGATAGTTTATAAAAAAAAATAAATCTAATCTCTTAGACCATCCTCATCAAATCTGAAAGGCTTATTTTTTAATTCAAAGAATTTTGAATTAACTAGCCAAAGTTCAGAATATGATAGATCATAATGATCTAACCTGTAGAAGGCCACTAATCAAATATTTTTAGTGATTCAAAATTCCAGTCACTACATCAAAATTCCCACAACTGTTTTTGGGACATCCAGCAGCCGTTCAGGGTTTGTTCCTCATTTGGACAGCAGAGGGAGTCCCTGGAGCACTTTTGATGTCTGTGGGACTGCAGCATCCAAAGTTCGTCATAAATATTTTTAATATTTAATAAGAGCTCACAATGTCTGTTTGTTATTTGTGTAATCCGTATTATTAATACTAACACTTTCTCACTGTCACAGTGGTAAAATTTGTGTACCTGTTTGCTACTAACATCAACACTGAATCGCTTTCACATGTATAACCTAAATTCAGTCCATTTTATATTCAGGAACACGAACAGCCATTGCCCTTGATGAATGTCAAAGCGTGAAACATCTACAGATCATTTTCATGTCTGGTTGGTAACTGTTTTATTAGTGCGCAGAAGCGCAGCACAACGATCACATCACAGACAACGAAGCGAACGGCTAACTCGTTTTTCCCTGCTGCATGCTTTAGCAGAGCATAATCAACACACTGACTTCACACGGCTCTTTCGCTCTCTCTCGGCTCTCCCTCGCTTGGTGTCTTTCTCTGATACTGGTGGCAGATTAAGAGATCTGATACAGCTCTGGTTAGCACTGGTGCTCAAAGCCCTCCGGCTGTTTCTCTTGCATATTTTGGCACGGTCCTCTTTTGTGTAAGAGACGAGAGAGTTTCTGTTATTCAGACACTCTAATAATTAACAACAGAGACGGCATCACACAACAACAACAACACAAACATTAATACGGCAGTATCGTAAAGTAAATTAATTTTTGCTGGTGTGAGCTTGGTCTCACCTCTCTTGGTATTTTGTGTGTCTCTGTGTTGGCATAATTATGTGTGTTTGTGTCTTTCAATGGTCACGTTTGACCTCCACTGCACCAGATCAAGGCCCCCCATAGTTCCCTCTCTGGCCTTACAATGGCTTCCCTGTGGCGTAATGTCTCTCCATTTGAGTCCTTCTCCACTGAAAGCAAGATTCTGAGATGTCCACTCAACATTCACTTCTGGTTCTCACCGTCTTGCTGTGGTACTTAATTGGAAGTCCCCAGCGTCTCATAAGATAAACGTCAAACACATATAGCATCCCTGGTTCCAGTTCACCGATCACCGCTGTTGTGACCGCCCGACGTGGGTTCAACTCCTGGAAATACTTACAGAGGACTCTCTCGTTTGCAGGACGGGATTCTGGGTCGATGCAATGATCCGTCGAGGTGTGCTTGCTGTCAAGTGGGATCTGCCTCCGATAAACGCAATAGAGACTCCGCTCTTCGGTCCCCATCCAGGCCAGAGTGACGGAGTTGCATGTCCGCAACTTGTTGAAAGACTTAATCTGTAGTGTGGCGGGAAACACCGGCACGGCTCGGCGGTGGTACGCTGATGACGCTTGCATTTTGAGCCAGAACTTGGACTTGCTGGAATCGCCTTTAGGGATCGTCGATGAGGAACCTGGAGCCAAGGCCTGGAGCTGGATGAGGTACGATGGGGCACCGTGCAACCATATCTGGGCAAGCTGATGTCCCACCTCTTGAGACGTCAAAGTCCGTCCTTTACTGGAGACGGTGACCTTGACTTTACTAGTGCTGTTGCAGGTGTGCAAGGTAAGGAGGCCATTTTGTTGCCACCCACGAGGTTTAAATTGGAACTGATCCCCCTGAAGACTGCTTGCATCCTTACTCAGGGTGACCCATTTGACCTGGCCTTCCCGTAAGTATGTGACAGCAGGACGAGCCTCCTCGTGCGTGCGGGCGAAAGTGCCAGTGTAGGCCGCACTTGTGCCGTTAACCCTGTCCACTACGAAGACGTCAAAGTAATACTGCGTATCCGGAAGCAGGTCTGAAACCGTGCACACGCTTTCGATGTCCCTGCACACACATCCAGGGTCCTCAAACTTGTCAGTCGTGGAAGATTCACGATTCTCGAGGGCATCCGGCTGCCGCCACCACCAGTCTTTAAGCGTTGCCCACACAATCTCCTTGCTTTGTTTGTCCCTCCTCTGTCTCTTCTGCACACTCTGTATCTCCTTTCGGATTCCCTCACGAGCAGAGCAAAGACTTCTATAGTTGTGTTTGTGGTTGACTAAGATGCAATATTCGTGATGTGGCCGGTGACCATCTTTAACAACTACGGATGAACTCGGAGCCCAGTTTAAGGTGACACTGGTCATGCCTACACCCAGAGTGTGCACTCTGGGGTCCGACGGCAGCTCCGGGAAAGCCCCCGAGGGACCAGGACCTTCGTGGAGGTACGCCGACACCTGCGTGTCCTGTTCGTTTGATTTCAGGCGCAGGATGTAGATGGACGCCGGAGCGTAGGCAGGACCGGTGTAGGTGTCTACAGCATTGCCGGTGTACGTGTAAATCCTAACCTCTCTTCCAGAACCTCTCCACCAAACCTCTGGCATGCTCTTCTTCGAGCTCCCTGCAGAAACGAAGCATTTCAGATCAAGATCAAGCATATTCAAAAGACGGCTCTAATCAAAAGAGAGCTAAAAAACATTTGGGCGGCATGCACGGATAAGCCTGTTTTTCATGCAAACCATCATTACTTTTGTCGGCACACTTTTAGAGGGAACGTTTGGTAATCAAAGTGAATAATTTAAAGGTGTAGATGGGGACCCCTGAGTTCACAGTCTAAATGATTTATATGTCACTTTATGACTTTATAATGCTGCTTTGCCTGCTAGACTAACTCTTCATTTCAGAACATGCACATGATTACGAAAGCAGAGTGCAGAAATGTAGTCACCATAAAATGCAATGCAAAATCAAATCATCAGGATTATTCTGGTACTGTTAGACACATGAAGCAGATGTGTCTTCCAAATATTAATGAACATACTTACTAATTGTGAAATGCTTTTTGAAACACAAAGCATTTAACTGTCTAGCGTTATGGGTGAAAAATATTAATTTAATTTATAATGTCAATTGGTAACACTTTACATTAAGGTTTAATTTGTTAACATTAGTTAATGCATTAGGTATTGTGAACTAGGGTTTATTAATATTGATTGTTAATTTTACATATACAATATACATACATTTTTAACATTTATGTAGCATGCACAAATTTCAGTTAACAATGAACAACAGTATATTTATAATTACAATTAAATGAATAGTTCACCCAAAAATGAGAACTTAATTTACTCACTCTCATGTCATTTTAATACTGTACGACTTTCTTCAAAATATTTTATTTAATGTTCCACAGAAAAAAGAAAGTCATACAGGTTTGGAATGACATGATGGTTAGCAAATGATAATAGAATTTTCATTAACCTAGATTAACACAGTACCTAATTCATAAACTAATGTTAACAAACAGACTCTTATTGTAAAGTGTTACTAAAAATTTAAATTAGAAACAGACGTCAATGTTTATCCATCCAGACTGTGCTTGCATATGTTGTATCTCTTTGTTTCTGTTTGAAAATGTTTTTCTTTCTTGTCTTTTCTCTGTCAGGGAAACAGCCTGGAGATTTGGAGATGGATAAGAGGAGAATCTTCTGTCCACAGAGGCCCTAAAGCAACACAACAGCAGTTTTACACCTGCTAATTAAATCAGTGAGCCTCAAGCGACTGCTTCGCTTCTTCATTAAAGCCTCTGAAGGGATGTAACCCATCCGCCCTTTGGATATAAAATCCCTGAGTTGTCTGTTAGTCCTGGTTAGGTCTATGCCAGCGCTCCCCAAACACAAACACGTACGTGTTCGCATGCATGCACAAATATACCTTCAAGCAGACACAAGTCCATGAATAAGCATACATACACACACAAACTCACAGTGTGCTTTCTTAGGCGGTTTATCCTTCAGGGTCCGAACAGCCAAGCTCCATTCGATGGGCACTGCACAGGGGCTCACAGTAACGGACAGCAAATCGTCTTTCTTCTTTAGCGTGAAATACAGTCTGAAACACAGATCAGTATCTGTATGTATTAGACACAGCAAATATGATTTGTTTGGTCTAATTATTCATAAGAGCTCTGAATAAAATCTATTTTTATATTCCATAAATTAACCATTAATCATAAATTAATCGGTCTAACAGTCTCCTTTAACAATATGCACCAGCCAAATTGTCTCATTAAGAGATTCTAATTCACTCTATTTGTATTCCTCATTTTTTAAACAAAAAACATGTACAGTAACTGTGACTTAATATCTCCTGAGACTTTGGGCCAGTTGCATAAACATAGCCACTATGTTAAGACTGTCTTAAGAACTACAGTTTGACCAACTAGCAGTTAGCCAAAGGGTAACCAGTCTTGCTTTTTGGATTCAAATTAAACCAACCTACCTTTCTGTAACTGATTTTAAAAAGTTATGACCAGTTTTGAAGAAAAAAAAATAGATGACTAACTTTTTAAGACTAGTCTAAGCAGTTTATGCAACTGGCCCTTTGCATCTTACAATGTGGCCTATTATATTTTTTACTCTAAAGCAGAAATAGACTTCCCTAAAAGACCCTCTATTGAAATTAAGCTGCAAAAATATCTTGTTACAAAATCATTGGATTTCTGACATCAGAAACCCAAAGACTTTAACACATGAATGCCCACATTTATGAATAAATGCCTATTCAGTGTTCTGAAACTTGATCCACTCAGTCATATTATTATTTCTAAACACCATAGTAAAGATAAGAGTAAAATATAGGAATGTCCAACCAACCTTGTGCTGTGTTCCTTGTTCTGAATCATTCAGAAGGATCTCAACATTAGAAATGAGTGGTTGAAGTTCAACAAAGTCCCTGATCATTTCAGTACGAACTTTACTGTTTGAGTGAAATTGCACTGTATTGTGAACATTTGGCATCTATATTGTAACTGCCAGTAAATACACTTGTGAGAAGAAGGCTGTTACTCCTTTCTTATGTGAAGAGAGCATTTATTTTAAAGGAATAGTTTGCCCAAAAATTTAATCTCAAAGTCTAAGTGCTTTTTTGTCCATACAATGGAATTCAGTGGTCACCAAAAGTGTTCGGTTACCAGCATTCTTCAAAATATCTTTTTTTTGCGTTCCACAGAAGAAAGAAATGCATACAGGTTTAGAGCGACGTGTGTGAGAAAATAATGACAGAATTTCAATTTTGGGTGAACTATCTCTTGAACTATAAGCCTCAGAGAGAGGGTGAAAAAAGTGGTTATTAAAAACTAAATTATGACTGTTTTGGAACAAAACAATGTACTAATATAATTTAAAAAGGACCTCAGTGAAAAAAAAAGTGAATGCTAAAAAGTGTATGACATGACGTCTTTAATTAATTAACATGCCGCAGAGCTTCCTTGGGGACTGTTTGACTGCTGTTGTTTGCACAAGTTGATCTGCTAAAGAAGGTGAGGAGAAACAAAAGCAATGACTCCAGAATGACTGATCTCTGATAAGCTTCTATCGATCCATTGCCGTTGTTTAGATATGCATCTCCACAAACCCTAATGTTTACAGACCACAGCTGATGCCAGGTGCAGCATCACTGTAGCGTGCTCCGCTCAGGCAGGAAACACATTCACTCCCCCTCCGTGAATAACATCACACTGGGCAGAATCTGGTGAACCTCCCTCGGTGCATTCTGGTAACACCAGCCATTTGGCAACAGCCACTTTCTCTGACCTTGAAACCCTGCTTGTGCGGCTGCCTTCAGTCAATGGTTTTCTGCATCTTCAGCTGCTCATTATATTATTGCTATGGAAATAGTCAGACATTAGATTTAAGACTCAGCGTTTGTTTAATGTGATTTGGATCTCTTATTTGCATACCCCTGGCACACCGCCGTGGCACATTATCATAATATTGATTTCATTCTTCTGGTAATCAGGTTTAACTTTGACCTTGACAACGAAACAAAGGGTCATAGTTTTAGTTTGAGGGATTGCTTGCAGGTACACTTCAGGTGTGTCCATCCCTTACCCTTTTAATGCAATTTTTAGTAAGAGTTTTGTGTGGAAGGCACAGTTACAATCTTTTAATAGATTAATTAATTTGATTTATGATCAGCAGCTCATGCCCCGCGGCTGTGCATTCAAACTCATTCTGTTCTTCTCTCTTTCTCGCGCTCAGTTTGAAGCCTGACACCACCTCTGTTACGGGTGAGGGAGCAGTTCTCACTGTGACTCTCACTGGCTAGTGTTGCTAATGGAAAAAGAAAGCTGCAATTTTAGCTGCCTGAATTCAATGGGTTTGATAGAGAGGAACTGGGAAATCTGTGGCATGATTTTAAGCCCATTAACAAGAATCAAACAGATAAGAGGAAAAAATTGACCCATCATTGATTTCAGAGTGTCACAAAAAGAGTTTGTGTTGCTAGTAAAATATAGCTAAATGTCTTTTCTACAGACTGTTTACAAAGTAAATATTGTAATATACAGTGGTGACCAAAATTATTAGAACACTAGTATTTTCACCAGCTAGAAAATGGTTTTAAGTCAGTTATTTCTATATTTTGCTGTAGTGTATCTAATCTAGAAGAACTGTGGCAACGTCTCCAAGATGCTTCAAGAAACCCATTTTTTCTGTACCTGCCTCTTATTGGAGAAATTCTTTATTGTCTTTTTTAGCCTTTGTGTGTCTAGTGTGTCTTTTACCTGCGAGTGCGTCCTTTAGGCAGATGTACTGGTGTGACCCTGTTTTCACTCAGCCATGTTGTGGGGTGTAATATGTTCTTTACCTTTGACCCATGAAATACTAACAACAACACTGTTAAAAAGTTTTTTTTTTTTTTTTACTAAATACTGTTGATATTCATCATTTCTAAGTCACTTTGGGGGAAAAAAGCTTTAAATGTTTTTGGTATAGCACTTGAAATGAGATATCCGTCTCACAGTTGTCTACCATTTTTTGTTTTTAACATTTAGAAACTGATGGTCCACTGGTTGCACACTTCACAATCTCTGCAGATGCAGTATGTCGTTCAGATATTGTTCGCCTACCACTGTTTAACTCATTTGACATACTTCCATTTGCATACTATTTATTACAGAAAAACGCATTAGCTTACAGACTGTAGTGAAAAGTTGATTTACCGTATCTTGCCAGTCAGTCCATCTATTTAGATTACAAACAGCTCATGCTTTGGCTTATGAAAGCTCCAAGACAAATGAGGACGTCTGGAAGTTTCAAAAGAGCTGATAATTCAGCAGAATTTTGACTTCATCTCATTTCACAACGTGTAAATCCATCATCCTTGAAACATCTGCTTTGATGTGAAAGTTGGAGATAAACTGCCAACTTTAAATGAAAATTAAAATCTTCTAAAACCTGTCAAAATCCAACTCTGACGGCTGAAATTCACATTCCCGGGCTAAATCCTGGGAAGATCTGCACTCGGGGCTGATGTGTTAGATGACAGTGCTGTTATTTATCTCCCAAGGTGATGACAAACTCACTTGTGTTTCTACCGACATTCAGCACAAAGGTTATTCATTACGGCTGACAAGCGAAGAACAGCTATCAGTCAATCAGTTGATCCTCACACTCCATCTGTTGTGAGGGCAAGATATGAGAGAGAGAGACGCGAGAGGACGAGGGAGAGAAAGTTAGCCTCATCCCAGCTGATGATTCAATGATAGCAGGAAACATTTGCCTTTATTCAGAGAGAATTATTTATATGAGCAACGAAAATTTGCTATCCGCTAACACTCAGTGCTCTATGCTTTGACACTCCACACAGAAGCCTCGCGCTGCGAGACGAGAGCGTCACTTCAGCGATGCCTGGCAAACACTCACTTGATTCTGTCTCTATTTTTAACAGGCGCCATCAAATTGGTTTACCGTGTAAATATAATTCAACTCCACTCATTATGTACGAACAGCAGGCGGCTTTGGTTGTATAAAAAAATCCATCGACAAAAAGAACAAACCCGACCAAAACAGCACCTGGAGGTAATCTGAGCACCGCCGAGCGGCGTCTGTGGGGGAGAGTTGAGGAAGTTTGAAACTCTCAGATGTTCAATCGGTGTTTATCTGCAAGCTGATGGGCCCACTGATGTGAGTTCACGTCCCCGGGGGGAGAGAGGCTGCCATCAAAGCCGTCGTGCTGAAAAGTGTCCCCATAACAACACTCATGGTTGTCGCTGGGGAAACGTTGCCCCGTAGATCAGATGACAGGCGGTGGAGTGAACGCCCATGAGACGCATCACCCAACCTCTGCTCTGATTCTGACTACTGAACAGGCCCTCATTAAAAAACAGAAGAGAAGAAGGATGGAGGGGGTGGAAAAGAAGGATGCAAGGAAAGTGTGAAGAGGAGGAGAGAGAGAGAGAGATGGGAACGGGAAAATGTCCAGGAAGATGAAGAGAGGGATTAAGAAAGGTGAAAAAAAGACAGTGAAGGTGAGAAAGAGAGGATCGGAAGGGGGGGAAATTAGGTAAAAGGGAGAGTGAAGGAGGGAGGAGCCGAACAAGGGCGTAGGAGGTGAGAGAGAAAGACGGGACGAGGAAGGAAGTGTAGAAGAAAAAATGGAAGACAAAATTGACACGTCCAAATGAATACGCGAAAAAGAGCTGGATAGATGGTCGTAAAACCTCGAGCTGGTGAACCCAATGTAGGGGTTAAATTTCCTCCTAAAATCAAATTAGATATTAAGAAAAATGTTGCATTAAGAATTATTTTTTTGCATTTGCATCATTATTTTTGCATTGTAAATTTTTTTTTCTTCCAAAATGCTCATTATTGTAATGCAATAATAATAATAATAAATACTTTTTTTTTTTTTTTTTAAGTATATAGTACTTAAATGGTATATATTTTACGTATTTTTAACATTTGTATATTTATATCATTAAAATACTTAGACCTATTTGAAAGTATTCACACACAATGGTAGTGTTTGTATAAATGAAAAAAAAATTTAATCAACAACAACTGTATTGTAGTCATTAGAATTGAGAATAATGGGAGTGGGATGCCTAGACACGTCATGGTAATGAGAATGTGAGGGGAATGTGCTTAATTAAAAAAATTATTTCATAATGCAAAAATATGAATTGTCCTGAATAGGCTGAATTCTTAATGATTCTGTATTCAGAGTATAATTTCTGATGTTTTTCCTTTTGATTTCAAATGGTTTTCTAGTACACGTTCAGTAAATCTCACACCAATTTTATTTCTCTCTTTATCTCTCAATCTCTGTTTACTGTATTCTGTGAGCTCGTATTACTGTACACACTCTCTCTCTCGCTCTCGATTTGTTGGAGAGCTTGTTGATGGCGTTGGTGGCTGTGGTGTCATGTGACACATGCTCTTTGCAGGGGTCCTGACTGCTCCCAGGGGAGCCAGACATAAAGAGAGAGAGAGAGAAAAAAGGGAGAGAGGTGGAAAAGAGAGAAGGAAAGACAGAAAAGGACTCCAAACTTGAATGGTATAGAATGAAAACTGAGAACTCATACAAAGATGTGGGCCATAGGGGGGTAAATAGACAGAGATGGGCTGAGACGGAGAGAAAAAGGGTTTAGTGAAAGACTGAGGGAGATTGTGGACAGAGCAGAAATATATTATGGACATGAACTCAGAATCTAATTGTCGACTTCAACAAGTCAAGTAACACTAATTGCTTTGTCTTTCTTTCCTTGCTGTCTATGTCTCACTCTCAAAATTTAATTGAATTCAATCATGGCCATGCCGTTTCAATGCTAGTGCAGCAATATTATGCCCGTATTCACAGAGGATATGTTATCATAAAATTGAACAAAATTAAACTTTTTATATTTGTATACATTTTTATAAATTTAAAATTTTTATATTATAATTTTAGATTTTAGATTATTATATTTTTAATTCAAGATTTGAATGTTTTCTTATTTATTTAAATATTTTATATTTTATATTATGTTTTGAGATTTTGTAATATAATATTTTTAATAAAAAATGTAGTTTTCAGATTTATTCAAATATTTTATATTACGTTTTAAAATGTAATATTATTATTTGTTTTAATGTAAGATTTAAATGTTATCAGATATATGCTATTTAAAAAAATACATTTAAAAAACAAAACAAAACTCTCTCTCTTGCTAATACCATGACTATTGTTATTTTCAGATATTGTGATTCAGTTCGAGGTTCATCCACACTATGAGGAGTTTGTGAGCCCTGTTCTGGATTTCCCTGAAACTGAACCACCATCCCAAGCCACAAACCATCTCACCGCTGTACTTATGGTCTATTTAGTGGTCAAAGAGACATGAGTAAAGACACACGCGTATAGAAAGAGGGGATGAGCCCAGTCATATGTAACAAACTGATGGGTCAAAGAAAATAGAGATTGAAGAAAAAGGTCTCATATTACTAAACAGTTATCATTTTTTCTACAAACCAACTTGCATTCAAAATTTACAATATATTACTTTGTGTTTTCACAGAGAATTGAACCCATGACTTTAACGTTGCTAGCACCATGCTTTCTACTAGTTGAGTCCCTGACATGTAATCAAAGACACACAAACATGCAATCACATGTACTTACCTCAGCCAGTGCTCAGGACGTTCACTCTGAAGAAAGAAGGCGAAGAAGAGCAGAAGTAAACGGGTCTGATGTCTTCTGCACTGGTGCTCAGAGTCACAGAAACTCCCCTGTCCTGCTGGAGTCCTGAGGATAGTGGGAAAGAAAGAAAAAAAGAAAAGCTCCCTCCCACCCTCCTCCTCTCCTCTTTCTCCCTTATCCACTCTCTTCTCTCGTTTCCTTTCCTTTTCTCTCCTCTCTTCTCTCCCCCCGACCCAGATCGGTGCAGTCTGATAACTGAGGCGTGCTAGTCAAACAGACACATGCGCGTGTGGACTGTGTGTATGTGAGAGAGAGAAGAGATAGATGATGGATAGAAGGATGGAGAAAGTGTCTTGGTGAGTGCTGTCGTTGCAAGAAGGGTGGTAGTGTGTGTGTGTGTGTGGAGTAATTGCAGAGAGAATTGGGGAGGGTGTTTGGAGACGTGTGTGTGTGTGTTTTTGAAGATTATATAGGGATGTGTTAATTACATTTGGGCACCCACACCAAAGATAATTTCCATTAATTCTCATAGAAACCCAAACCATAAACATCTTCATTACAAACAGTAAATAATTGATATCCTTTTAGATTTCTTGTTATTTTAATTTGTCCCAAAATTATCATTACCAGAATGCAGAAATCTCTCTCTATATATAATATATAATAATTGTTAAATTAGTTAAAATAGTTTAAATTTAATTATTTCATTTCTGTCAATAAAAATCAAATCAACTTTATTAATCCAAAGGGCAATTAGCAGGCTTTAGTAAAACGCATGCACATACACATTAAAGACTTAAAGAGAAGAAATAATTAAATTCCATTTCAATGCAATTGTATCCATTTATGGTAACAAACATTGACAATAATGGGAACTGGGTGTATAAAAAAAGTCCTCTTATTAGCTGTTTCACCTATATGTAAATATATTACATTTTCATATAGGAAACATATTGTCACATGAAATAAAAATATATATGAAACCTACTAGAAATTGGAACAATTTCATATAAAAAAAAAAATATATATATAGCCCATACAAAATGTATGTTTTAATATGTAATATTATGTAAACAAACACATGCACATATACAAATTTTATTATGGGTATTTTTTATATGTAATCAACGCATATCTTCATATACCAATAGAATGTACATATGTGAAAATTATACATCACTTTGGTAACGTATATGACATTATTACTGTTTATATAGGGCAATGTGTATTACATTACGTATGGGCACAGACATAGATATAGATATCGACCTATATTCATCATAAATACATGAGCGCTGAACATAAAATCGCTCCACAGCGCACACCTGAAGCGTGGGTGTGTGTGCGTTTGTGTATATATTGTTCTAAAGGTCAAGTGCTCTTATCAGAGAGATTGAATATGTACATGTAATTGTAAGTGTTTTTCCCGAACTCGACACTGTGCCTCTCTCCTCCACACAATGCAATCTCTCCATCTTCCACCCCTCCCTCACATTCTGTCCATCCTCCACAGCAGAATGAAAAGAGCTATTTGCATTGTGTGTGTGTGTGTGTGTGTCTCCTGGGCCTTTTTGAATGTATTCTATGGGTGCTTCAGCCATGCTATTGAAGTAATGAGAACACTCCACCCATCTGGTCATTGTGTGCGTGTTTGTGACCCCAGATCCAGCAAGGAGCTGCGTCGCTCACAAGAAAAACCAGAGCTCATCCAAGACTTGATTTCCTTGACCAATAGATATGTCCGGCCAGTAAGAAGTGATTTTCTGTGGCAGGCCGCCATCGGTGGCTTTGGTTCAGGTCAGCACAGCAGCTCAGCGGTGACGAAAGGAACCTGATATGACTGACAATCAGAGTCCTAATGAATCTAGAATGTTCTTGATGGTCACGGTCCTGCTAAATCCATTGTGGAAAGAGGAAATTCATCCTACAAACGCTTCAGATTATATTTCATGTTGTCCTTGATCATTATATTTTGTTTGCTCTCAGCTTCAGAAAGTTTTTGCTCTACAAGGAGAGTGTATGCAGGAACGTGGGTTATAATGCCTAGTCATTTGTGGTGAGATGTGTAAAGTGAAACGTTTGGCCTTAGTTCAGTGATGTCTTCTTTCTAACCATCAGTTAGACAAAATGACACTTTTCAGTAGGTAAATGTGAGAAAAAGGGAATAAACAAGTGAGCTGCCTTGCTGTCTTCTGTCTGCCTACACAGACAGCTGCCTATAAAGTGTGGCTCTGTCCCAAATGACAGACTTGATGTGTATTTGCAGACTTGCGATGATTGTTGTTTTACATGTAGTTCGTATTTTAGCTGGGAGCAACTGTTTGAATTTAAAAACATCTTGATGGATTCTTACAATCATGCAACTTTCACTTAACAAGGCATTACTTTATTGTGTGGATTACTTGTGGATTTTTGTGATGTTTTTATTAGCTGTTTGGACTCTCATTCTGACGGCACCCATTCACTGCAGAGGATCCACTGGTGAGACAGTGATGTAATGCAAAATTTCTTCAAATCTGTTCCAGTGAAGCTCTTGGAGGGTGAGGCCTGCGGGTGACTACATTTTCAGCAAATATTCATTTTTGGATGATCTACTTCTTTAAATGTAATGAATATTCATTTTACATACAGTATATTATAATGCATAAATAAGCATTTAAAATTGTTGTCAGTATTTTATTTTTAAATAATTATTTAATTAATTTTTTATTTTGGTTTTAATTCAGACAAAGTATCAAATTTTAATATCAGCCATTTATCAGTTATTATTATTATTTGTGCATGTCTATTTTATCTATTTTACTATTAAATGAAATGCAAGTATATTATCATAATCAACATATTGACTCATCTGCCATTTTGAAAAAAATAATAATAATAATTTCAGAGCTTCATGCAATAAAGCTGGTATTGTCTGGGATGCATTTGTACAGTTATTAAAAAGAGTAAAAAAGAGTTTTTATTTTTTTTTAAAGTAAGGTAAATTGTTGTATACACATGTTAACACTGCTATATTTTCTTTTACTAGGAGCAAATGAGAACCCAAAAAAATAATTTGTTGTACTTTCAATTTACTAGAAGCTTACCTAACTATGACAACTTGTGCTTCTGAGAAACTGAAAAAGATCAGTTTTTTTATAGAAGGCAACAACAGCCTTTGCATGCTTGTGATGCTATCTACATAGGCGGCTATAAGTATATTTTAAAATGGCACTATTTTAGGAAAGAATCTCATCAACTTGCCTAAAAGATCTCTATTTTAAAGTATGATGCTTTAATCGGGCCAGTGCTGAATCTTTGGGTGTTTGGAGGTGGGCCCCACACTCCTGTCCCCCCTGGAGAGCCGGGTGAGTGCTTTAAATGGGTCTGGCCCACTTCAAAATCCCTTTGAACTGCCTGAAGTCTGGCTCTCTCTGATACTGCCGGGGTTTTGAAGTTTTGATTTATAACTTAACCTTTTGGATTTTGCCAGAAATACTAAAAATGACAGACATTTACATGAATGCACACATACACCATTAGCTTTCTCTTCTTCTGTGTTTCTGACTGGTGTTCTCTCGTACTCGCTCTCTCATTCTCTTTCACCGGTTAGGTTTTTTTCTACCATGCTGAATTTCTGTTCTCTTGTGTTCTTCTTAATAATTCATTTGCCATATTTGCTGGATGCTTCTGTCTCTGTACAGCATGCATACACACACACACACACACACACACACACACACTCCTACAACACATCTTTAATTAAAATAATTGAATTTTCAGGTTTTATCAATTATTTATGGCTGGTTAAAGGTTTCTCA